CTTACAAGCTTTTGCACAGCAAAGGAGACCACTGACAAAACAAAAAGACAACCAACAGACTGGGAGAAAATATTTGCAAATGATGTGACTCACAAGGGCTTAACTTCCAGAATATACAAACAGCTCATACAATTCAATAACAAATAACAAACAACCCAATCCAAAAATGGGCAGAGGATCTAAACAGACATTTCTCCAGTGAAGACACACAGATGGCCAATAGGCACAGGAAAAGAAGCTCAATGTCACTATTTATCAGAGAAATGCAAATCAAAACTGCAATGAGGTGTCACCACACACTGGTCAGAATGGCCATCATTAGAAAGTCCACAAATGATAATTGCTGGAGAGGGTGTGGAAAAGATGGAACCCTCCTACACTGTTGGTGGGAATGTAATTTGGTACAGCCACTATGGAAAACAGTATGGAGGTTCCTTAAGTAACTAAAAATAGAGTTACCATATGATCCAGCAATCCTACTCCTGGGCATTAATCCAGAGAAAACTCTAATTTGAAAAGATACATGCACCCCAATGTTCATAGCAGCATTATTTACAATAGCCAAGACATGGAAGCAACCTAAATGTTCATCAACAGATGAATGAATAAGGAAGATGTAGTATACACAATGGACTACTACTCAGCCATGAAAAGGAATAAAATAATGCCGTTTGCAGCAACATGGGTGGACCTAGAGATTATCATACTAAGTGAAGTAAGTCAGACAGAGAAAGACAAATATATGATATTGCTTATATGTGAAATCTAAAAAAATTGACACAAATGAACTTATTTACAAAGAGACTCACAGACACAGAATAGAAAACAAACATACCATTACCAAAGAAGGAAGGGGGAAGGGATAAATTGGGACTCTGGAATTAGCAGATACAAACTATTTTATACAGAATAGATAAACAAGATCCTACTATATAGCACAGGGAACTATATTCAATAACTTGTAATTACTTATAATGCAAAAGAATCTGAAAAAGAATATATATGTATAACTGAGTCACTATGCTGCACACTGGAAACGAATACAACATTGTAAACCAACTATACTTCCATTAAAAATTACTTTAAATTTTTTTTAAAAGCTAATACATATAAAGCATAGGTACCATACATATAATGGATGTCTCCTTAAAACACTACAGCCTTGCTGAGAAGGGAAAACCGAGGCAATGTGCAGACCAGGACCAGGTATGTTGTTGGGGGACAGGCAGGGTTCCCAACACCAAGGGAGACTCTGCTGATAGTGATGCGTGTGGGGCAGGCTCTGGATTGATGTCTAGGGATCTTTCTCCTTCAACCGCTGCCTCTCCGAATCCCCACCCATCTCTATCAGCAACCTGAGTGCAGAACTTGGGACGTGCAACTCAATTCACAGTGCTCTCTGGAAAACTCATTCCCAGCTGCTCGGACGCCATTCTTAATTGTGGGCAAAGCCATGATAAAACACGTACCAAGTCAATCAGAAGTATGGAAGGAAAGGATGCCACGTGCTTTCCTTGTGTATGTGATTTTAAATGGCTGGAGTCCCTGCATTTGGAACTCAAATGTCAGGAAAGGAAGTAAAAAGGAGGCCAGAAAAAAATCAGCCCCTGGAGGAGCTCAGTGTGAGTGTTTGCTGGCAAAGGCCCACCTGAGGTATGCAAATCTGAACCAGGTCGCCTGTCCAAAGGGGGCCTCAGGTGAAAACAGAGGCAGGTGGGCTCCACCAACCCCACCGCCAAGTGCAGAAAGAAGACAGGACTGGAAGCAGCCACAGGGAAGAGCTGCCCGCGTGCTGGACCCTCTCTTGCCCACCTCCCGCATAAGAACTTCCTATTTAGACTTGCAGGTAATACATGGTAAGCATCTAGTGTAGGGAGCTGGTCATCACATGCCCCATGGCTAGGTGTCATCTGTACCCACATCTCTGCCTTAGATGGAGGGACCTTCTGCACAGAAGCACTGAGAGGCCGCATGAGGTTGCTCTGTGGGTGGTCAGGCAAAGCTCATGGGTTCCACCTTGACCTCTGGGGCTGCAGGTTGAACCAGACCATCCTGCAAGGCTTATGCTGGTCCTTCCCCCTGGTCCTTCTCAGAGTGAGGAAAGCCACCCCAAGGAGGGGGCTCTCCTTTCAGGGGCAGTGCTTTGGGGGTACATTACTGTGTGCTTTAAACAGTCCTTTTGTCTCCTACTTGGGCCTCCTGCTCCACCCCAGGTCAGAAGGAACTGACCAGCCAAGTAGGGAGGGAGATTTCCTGCTCAGCCAGTTCATTCTCTAACCAGCGGTGCTTAGTGGAGGCTGGTACCTGTGCCCAGGGGACGTGGAGAATAAAAGGAAGGGAATCTGTGTGAATGCACAAGAAAATATTTGCCTTAATACCACCTTGCTTCTATAAAGCACTTTACTGCTATAAAGCATTTTAATGCATATGAACTAATTTTTTTTAAAACTGCATCTCAAGCAGAACTGGCTGACAGCGGGGAAGATTGGAAGGAGTCCAGGGAACAGTGACAAGACCTGCCATTTAAGTCTGGGAGGTTCAACTTCTCTGAGACTCAGTTTCTCTATTGAGCCAACAAAAACTAAATTAGAATGAGGGCTTTCAACTCTCAATGGTGATGATGCCATTTGCTATAACAATGTGTTATTATGAAACTGATTACAGTAGGGCTTTTGTGATGCCAAGAAGAAAGTTAGACATAACCTTGTAGAGGAAACAATGCTGGCTTAGAACTAGCCACAGATCTGCTACTTATTCATCAGCTGTGTGACTTTGACAAAGCAAGTGAACTTCTCTGAGCCTGTTTCCAAATCAGGAAATGAGGACAAGAAGATTTGTCTGGTAGGGCGGTTGCTCGTGTTAAATGAGACAGTGAATCTGAATGCACTTTTAAACTCTAATGACCTATAAAAATATGATCATTTATTATTGTTACTACTATTACTGCCACACGAAAAATCCATTAGCCCTCCAAGAATTACCTGACAAGGGAAACAAATGAATTCAGCAGCCCTTACTAGCATAAATACTAATCAGGGAGTAAAGGCCATTTACAGAATAGGGAAAAAAAAGTTAGCTTCTTGCCTGCTACATGACATCCACGGAACAGACTTCTAGGTGCTCCTTGCCCCTGTAAGTCACATACAGAAGACTTAGGACATTAACAATGATGATTTTCTCTACCATGAGGGCAAACAAAAGTATCTCTTTATACAGGTCTTTCAAAGACCAACAAAATCACTATTAGTATTAAAAATGATTACACTATTACACTTAGAAAGGCAATAACCACTCTTCCAAACTTTCTAAAACGGTTATTAGAGCGCAACGTTGTGACTGGAAATGAGGGGTCCTGGACCCGTCCTTTGGAAGCACTTGGTCTTATTCTAGGTTGCTTAATAAAAGAGCTGGCTCTCCACTGCCCTCCCCATGTACACAGCAACACCCCGCACACTTGGGGTTAAGTGTTGAGAATTATGCACACAGACCTGTAAAATAGAACCCTCTACTCTAACATGATTTTTCACTCCCTATCTTGGAATGGCTGTGTATTATAGAGTAGTGTACAAAGTTGCAAAGAAGCTCATCTAAAAAGGGATAAACTTTTTTTTTTTTTCTCCAGGATGACCAAGTAACAGAGCGCCTTCATCTCTGGGCAATATTCAAGAAGCTTATTGGTTTTCTTTGTTCTCTTATGTTTTTGAGCTTGTCTGGGTCTTAAGCACTGGGTATATTAGACCATAGGTTTTAGCAGGGAAGTCTTTACACACAAACTAAATAAACTTTTAATTAACAGAATGTTACAGAAATCACAGCTTGCATGGACTGCGTGTAAGAGGAAAAAATTAATTTACTTTTAAAAACCTTCACTCTTTATATTAATTTTTGCTTTTGAAAAAAAAATACCTTGAGAACAAAAGCAAAGAAAGATAGCAAGTACTTTAAGAGTAAAACAGCATCTTACCCATCCTTTATACTTTCCATAAGGAGGGGCATAATAGATGGTTGAAAAATGTTTATCAAATTAAATTATTTGAAAGTTTCATAAAGAAGATATACACTAAATCAGAATAACAGTTTACAAAGCATTATTATAAAAGCTCCATCCCCAAATAAAATCAATAATGATGTTAAGAGAAAGTGAAACTCACTTGTAATGAACTTGATGACATGTAAGTTCTGTGCCTCGTGGATATTTAAGGTTAGAATTAATTCTTGATTCATGCCTATTCCTACTTCAGCTTTGCCGATCATCAGATACATAATCAATAATTTGGCATTCCAATTAGTTAAACTTAGTGTATTCTTATAAACTCTAAAAGTACTCCATAAAGATAGACAAGCAAAAAAAAAAATATATATATATATATACATTTATATTTATATTAAGTTGTTTCAACCAACAGACTAAGGGATAATTGCTAGAAGTAAATGAATATCTCATCACAACCAATAAATTCAGGGATAACTGCTGGAAGTAAACCTCTACCTTGTCCATCTATCATTCCTTGCCACAGTTTTTTCTTTCCTTAAATGAATCATGTCTAACACAGAAAGATAAGTAGTAATTGATTTAATCCTCTGAGTAACATGCATCTTCGGCATCATTATATACAGTTTTTGCCCAATATATTTACTGCGTTTTTTATTGAGTAACGCAGAAATGAGTGCTGGGTTGGCAGCCCGATAATAAATAGCCCTAATGTCATCCGAGTTGCTCTCTCGCATTGACAAAAATGGCGATAAATTGGATTGAAATTGAGATAGAGAGGGAAGACGATTACTGCCGATGCTGAGACGCACGTATCCCCCGCCCCGGCCGTCATTACGCACGCACGCTCTTCCATCAGCCTGCAGGGCTCGCCCGGAGGCAGAGCAGCCCCGGGTACCGGCCCCTCGGACACACAGCCTCGGGGCCCTGCAGCGGCGGCCGGACAAGCTGACCACGTGAGCGGCCTCCGCGGTCGGGGGGGGGGGGGGAGGAACGGGGAGTACTTTACCTTCCTGCACACAGACGGGTTTATCACTCGGGACCCAGCCTAGGGTTCCGTTCAGATGTTTCATACACAGTCTCTTTGTAGAGCCCTTCAGCTTGAATCCGTCTTGGCAGTGAAATCGGGTGACAGAGCTCTCAAAGAAAACCCCGCCGTTGGGCGTCCTGAAGCCATTCTCGGGGACGCCTGGGTCCGCGCACACCTGAAGGTCATCGAACCCTACATGGACAGAGAGGAGACACGGTGCCTCTGAGTATATTTCTCAGATGCCGAGGGTCTTCCAAGTTAAATGGCATGTGCTGTGTTCTTCCCGTTGGACCGCCCAACTACACCAACAAAAAAGCCAAGAAGATAAACATTCGTGTGCACATTTCACCCTGCTTTTTGCTCTTTGCTTAGATAAGGGCTCATTCGTGATTTCAGTTCCACAGCCAAATTTGTTCCTCAAGGAGGTCCTAGGAGAGGGGAGATGAGGAAAAGTAAGCAACAAAAGGAATAAATAATGGTACATGTCACTACCAAGATACAAAATGCTCAAGGGGGCTGAAGAGACAGAAGTGGTCGGGAAAGGGGCAGATGGACTCCAAGCCCAGCCTTGAAGGATGGGTCTGATTTCAGGGGCAGAACCAGACTTGGAGGGAGGCACAGGGGAACGGCAAGTAACATGGCTGGGCTGGGAGACAGGGGGCTGGGTTTGGGGACCAGCGAGCGGTCGTGAGGGCTACACAGGGTGTGTGGAAGAGGCGTGCGGGGAATTTTCCTAACGCCATCTTCACCATCACCCTGTCGCGGCATCTGCCAGGTCTGGTTCAAGTTTCTTCTCCTCCGGGAGCCCTTCCTTAACCCCACTCTCCCCAATCTATCCCCTTTTTGTTCCATCACTGTAGCGCAAACACAGCCCTGTACTGAACTATTTGGAGAATGACCACCTCTCATCGTGGCCTATGAGCCCCTCAAGGACAGGTTCTGAGAATTTTTCACTTTTGTATCCCATGGAATCTATCACGGTCCTGCATAGAAAGAGCCCCATAAATGTTTGATGAGTGAATAAACAGAATTGGAAAAGGGAGTGGGGGGTTCATCCTGGGGTGACCTCAGAAAGTCTGGCTAAGTGAGGAGGCCAGTGTGGAGTCATGGAACTGGGCGGCGGGTACCGGGAGGTCACAGGACAGCAGCTTAAGGGAGTAAGCTGGGCTTAATTGGGGCTCTTGGAGGATTTACCTGGTTTCCAGGTGATGCCCAGATATTGAACTCTTAAGATATCTGATCTTCTCTAACATACTGGGCTTGCAAAACGTCGTCAGCTGGTAGGTGATGCCCCTACCCCAACTTCCAACGTGCCCATGGAGGACTCACTCGCTGCCCTCCCCAGCTGGCCTAGTGACCCTGGACCTTCTTCCAGCACCGCTGTGCTGAAAGCCACATGGCACAGGACGCACCTCAGTCACAGGATGTCTGGAAGTAGCAACATGCTCTCTCTGTAGAGGTCATGAGGCTGTGGGCTGAGTAAAAAGCCAAGCAGGGAGGCAGGGAAGTGGACAGCATCCACATCTGGCTCGATGACATCTCCTTCTTTGGGAGAGGGTCTGACACTTATCAAACAGAAGATGCTTTGACAAAGGAGACACCATCCAGCCCTCCCAGCCACCCTCACATGAAGCTGCAGCTCTGCCATGCTGTTCATACTGAGCACCCTGACAGCGCAGGCTGTGTTCCAGCCCTGCAGAAGGGTGTCACCACCCGTCTGGGGAGGAGGGCAATAAAGTACTGTCAAGGCATTAAGTGATGGCTTCATGTTCTTATTTCAAAAGAAAGAATTGTAGATTGTCAAGTGCATCCTGAGTGATGAAGGTCAACGATTTCCTTCTGAGTCTGGCTGTCTCAGGGTGGGTCCTTTAAAGGTATATCCATTATGGCACTGAGGTGACAACTAGCAGCAATGGAATTAGTGATTCTATCCCTGCCTAGAAAGCCTAGGAGCATAAACACACAGAAACCTGAGCGGTCTGGGCATTTTCTGGCAGTCTGTGGGTGAAAGTCATTCTCACACTCATGCTGTAAGTCTAACAGAGCCTGTCTCTGCTCTGACAGCCTCGGGCAGGGCACACGTTATCTGACAGTGGGTGGCCACAGAAGGGTAAGTCGAGTACTGCCACAGAGGAGGGATGGGCTTCTGGAAGACCTCGGGCTGAATCCTCACCAGCCAGCCAGAGGGAGAGAGGGCATCGTGGGGCGAGGTGGAGAGGCATGGATGGAGGTGGGAAGCAGCTGAGCACATTTTAGGAAAAAGGTGGGCCTGCCGGGCTGGGGGCAGGGTAACTGCCATACGTGGAGCCCTGGGGGCTGGAGGGAGGGCGAGAGATAGCCACAGACCTTGATGGTTTTACATGTGAGCTGAGGGGCTGGGCTTGAGGAGGAGGAGAGGGGTGGGGGTGGTGGCAAGTTCTGAGAGCTCTGAACAAAGACAGGATTGAGATCTGATCTGCATTTGTGAACGATCTTTCTTGTACCCAAGCGGAGGACTGACTGGTACAGACCAAGCAGGGGCAGGAAGCTCATCAGAAGTGCCTCCCAGGCCACCAGCTGCACTTCAGGAACATGGGGGCAGCTTTGTAGAAGAACAGACCACTGATCCGGGCTCTCTGGCTGAGGTGGGGCCAAGAAGCCTTGGGTTTTAGAAAGCTCTCCCAGTGACTTAGGCAGCCAGTCTCGCACCTGCCCAGACCAGCACCTGAGCACTGTGGGATTTCAAGGCTCATGCCATAACCGGGTGGGAAATGAGGAGTCGGAACCAAGGTGGAGGCAATGGAACAGAGAGGGCCACGAGAGATAGGAAGGAAACCAGTGAACTTATTTACAAAACAGAAACAGACTCACAGACATAGAAAACAAACTTATGGTTACCAAAGGGGAAAGCAGGGGGTGCAAATAAATTAGGAGCTTGGGATTGGCAGATACAAGCTACTATATATAAAATAGATAAACAATAAAGTCCTATTGTATAGCACATGTAACTATATCCAATAGCTCATAATAACCTATAATGAAAAAGAATATATATATATATATATAGCTGAATCACTATGCTGAACACCAGAAACTAACACAACATTGTAAATCAACTACTATACCTTAATAATAATAATAATAATAACAACATATGGAGGAGGGGTTTAAGGGGATGAATTAAAAGACGGGCATCTAGGATAATTCCTGGGTTCTGATGCTGATGACGGAGTAGATGGTGGGGCCGTGCACTCAGACTACGGGACAAGGTGGAGAGAACAATGATGTGTCAGGTGAGGGGCCATGAGTCTGAGTTCTTGGCGGACACCCAGGCAGAGACGGCTGGTGATCAGCTAGAGGGTGAGTCCGAAGCTCTGTAGTGCCCTGAGCTGGGCGTCTGCACATGGTGGCTGCTGCAGGCACAGGTGGGTACAAGCACAGAATGAGGGGAGCAGCAGCCGAGGCACCCACAAAGGACACTGGGGATACACGGCCATGGAGAAGGAAGCCTGACTGGGTCACAGAAGCAAGGGAAAGCGTTTCAGGAAAGAAGGAATGGGCGGTGGTGTCTGATGCCACCCACGGGTCAGCTAAGCAAAGGTCTGAGAAGCATCCATTGGCTGAAGACGAAGAGCACTGGGGCCACTGCTCAGGCAGCTTCAGGGACAGGAAGAAACTGTCTCTGGGGGAGGAAGCCTGCCAGCTGATGTCTGAAGTGGGTGGGTGACAGTAAGTATGGGTTTCTCTTTCCAGACGCTTAATGTGAACAGAAGAACATAGGGTGGTAGTTATCCCTGGATTAGGGTCAAGGGAGAGGTTTATTGCTGTCGCAATAAAATTTTAAGATGAAAGAGATTTGAATATGTCTCTACACAGCAGGGAGAAAGAAAGGTTGCAGATAGGGTGGGAGCAAAGGAGAGGCAGGAGGGAGATAAATTTCCCAGGTCTGGATGGGGCAGGGAGGGGACCCGAACCCTGGAGGAGGGACCTGCCCCCCACTGAGGCAGGATGGGGAGTTATGCTGGAACCTCCACTGAGGGAAGGATGTGCCTCATAATGTGCTCATCCTACAGGACTCAGCTTAAACAGCACCTCCCCCTGGAAGCCTTCCTTCCCCCTTCAGAGTCAGAACCGGAAGCTTCTCTTCGCATCTAGGCACCCTGGGCTGACCTCTCTTAGCGTGCCCCCAACCCTGTCGATGCTGGTCTACTTAGTTGTCTCTCTCACTGGTCTGTGAACTCCCAGAGCGAGTGACCACGTCTAATTCTTCAGCTCCGGCACTTAGGATGGTGCATAGTGAGTGTGGGCATTCCACAAGTGCTGCCAATGAAGGATTGTTGGATGGATGGATGACGGATGGATGAAGCCACATACTCTGCTGGACTCATCAGGCAAATGCCCCTACCCCATCCCACCGAACAGTAACACCCATCATTTTGATAGTCCCGGAAGCTTATGTATTCCACAGACAAGGGAGGTGTGAATGCTCTTCCCCAGCACACACAGTCTTCTAATACCCTCTCACCTTCCTCTTTTCTGCCAGCCCAAGCAGACTGCATTCTTTAGAAGTTTACAACCTTCTTCCAATCCACATCCTCAAACACCTCAGCCCTCCTCCTCCCTCTCCACTGTAGGGTCCAAGATAGGTTTATGCTAATGATTCAGCTAAGATACCTGTGCCTCTCCCACCCACCACACACACATTTCTTAGCCAGTCACCGCCTGCTAACAAATGAGCCAAGTTGATCAGTCCCAGGCACTGATCCCTCAGCTTGTCACACCTCCCTGCCCCGAGCCACAGAGCTGTTCTCTCTCAGAGAAGGACAGAGCATTCAAGAGAGAGCTGAAAATGCTGCCCTGAATCCACCAGAAAAATGACTCCTGCTGTAATAAATAAGTAAATGATGAGAGCGTCAAGGAAATTATGATGGGAGAGCAGCAGAACTTCCTAGTGAATCCAATTCTGTACTCTTTCTTTCCGTACTCCCTCCTTTTCAGAAGAGCATTCCCATCCGCTTTCTCTGCTTTCCCGTAAAACAGCCAGCCTCTGGCTCTGTTTCTGTGCCTGGGACAGTGCTGATGATCAGGACGCTATGGCCGTGGGAGCCAGCTCTTGGCACCGGCGAGGGAAATAAGAACATGCAGTAAAAAGAGAGCAATCAGAAGATGGGATGGTATAAGAAGAAAATATTCTTCATTTTGGACAACTAATC